GAAACTGTCTCTATATTCACACAGCACTAAATGAGACATATAATCTGAAAAAAAATGAACTCCTCTACCTACTCTATTGCCTTATAGCATTTTAAATGGCCTTACTGTATGTTAGGGATGTAACGATTACCGATATTACGGTAAATTTCGGTTAATTTTTACACGGTAAGAATGACCATTTATGTTTAAATTAACTGCATTATCGCTGTGGATTATCAGGATATGTAATAACAGCCTCATTCAAGTCTCGCGATGCAGGCGCTGCGTGAATGCATAGCATGTGTAAACACAAAGAATGAAAACATGGCGGAAGGTGGTAATAGCGGCACTCAGGACATTGCCCCCCCCCCAACTAAATGCACAAAGTCTGAGGTCTGGGCGTACTTTGGGTTTCTGAAGAATGCCGAGGGACAGCTGGTGGAGGACAACTATCCTGTGTGCAGAACATGCAGAAAGAAAGTTGCTGAGAAGGGTAGCAACACTACAAATCTGCTGGCTCATCTCCGTGACCATCATCCACAGCTTTACAGCCAATGCAAGTTATGCTATGCAAACGTCATTTATTGTGTGAGGGACTTCGGTTTTACTAAAATTATCATAATGTGTAACTCTCGACGTATATGGGACATTTGAGCCGTATCTGTTCTCCTAAACGGCGACTAGGTTTTCCGTTTTCGTTTAAGACACTAGCTGATTAGCTAATAGCCGTATTAGCAGCTACGTTGCTAACGTTAAGTGTTTCAAAACGAAACAGAGCTGAAAACACTGAGCGGAGCCGACAGAATATAAACCGACATAATGTTGATTGAATCACTGTGATTATGGTTATTGTATGGCGAGCTTGAATCGATATAGACGGCCAGTTATGCTTTCTTGACATAAGCTCAAGGAAACAACATAAAACGCTGCCGTGTTAACCTTTGACCGAGAGCATGCACTCCTTTTCTCATACAGTTAATCCTCTGACTCACATGCACACTTCTCATGTGTTAAGTATTCTGTGTAATGATGACCATTGCCCTTAGGGTTTTTTGGTTTCTCCTGCACATTTGTGATATCTATTCTATATATTGTATGTCTTTTGTTCTACTCTTGCATTGTTTTTTTTATATATATATTTTTCCTCTCATGCTAAGAAATAAATAATATATAAATTGTTAACATATTTTGCTGACTGTTCAAATTCACCAGACAAATAAGCTTTGCTCCTGCAATGTGTTTACATATTTTGTTAATTAAAAATAAAATTTTCTGTTGCTGTGCCAATCCCTTGCCCCTTTAATGTGAAAGTTTCATTTAAATATAAGATTTTGGCTGTTAACATTTTAGTATGATAAGGAAGTTACAAGATTTAGTGAAGTTATTTCAATGTATCTATTTTTTGGACATTTTACAGCGCTTAAAAAAATATCGCAATATTATCGTTTTCCGTGATAATTTGGTCACTATAATCGAGATATCAAATTTTCCATATTGTTACATCCCTACTGTATGTAAACAACAACCAATCAGAGCCAAGAAGTCTCTAATGCAGCTGTCCATCATGTCATCAGAATCTGTGCCAAGTCCTCAGCGAGGGCGCGTTGTAGATGGGAGGTTCCAGGCGCAAAAGTGGATTCATTCATTTTAGGGCCATATTGCCACCCCTAATGTCAATCACTGTTTGCTAACTGCGGTCAATCTGTCAAACCAGGCAGTGCTGATCAAATATGAATCAAGATTCTGTTACTACGTTGTCAATTTTATCATCTGAAATGTTTTCAGAAACATATTTTAGAGTACTGCCTAGCTGTAAAAAAAAAAAAAAAAAAAAAACAAGAATACAAAGCACCGCCCACCAACTGTACCACCTTTCCATTTTCCAGCAAACTAGTACACTAAAACATGTTTCTGAAAACACCTGAGTCGAGGCAATGCAGTTACGGAATCTTGATTCATATTTGATCAGCGCTGTTAGTCCAACCATTTGATTGCAGTTCAGGGAGTGACTGACATTACTGACAGCTGCGTTAGACACTCCTCACCTGCATCAGAGACTCCTCCGCTCTGATTGCTTGTTGCTGACCACACCGCAGTCTGATTCTAGCAAATGCCATAGAAGACAGCAGGAGAGGAGACAGGACATGATTTTCTTTTCACAGACTGACTCATGTACCTCTTTCAGAATATATTGACAGTTTTAGCAAATATGACATCAAGTTATTTTCTTAAAAGTTACCAACTGTATCTTTAAGGCAAAATAGCTACTGGTAGTATTCTCAGTTTCAGACAAAACTGACTGTAATTGTCATGAAGTTTTGCCCCTCCACTACACTACACTGTTTGCTTTGTACCGGCATCTTCACCTTTGACAGAAAATGAATGACAGCTACAGATTGGACAAAAAATTCAATGTGTTCCAACAACTGTAAAGACTGAAAGAAAAATCCAGGTGCGTTGACGTGTATGTGCATACTGTTATTATAACCTTACCTGACTTAATCAGACTGAAGCATTATGTAGAGAATTTTCTTGAGGTACAACCGTACATACTTATTCGTATAAATGTAGCCAGTGATTGTAAGCCACAAGGTTACCTCACATTGTAAATCCCTGGACTGATGACACAGAGAGACCAGGCTATCATCATCAGTCTGTTCAAGACACAAAGCTTGGGCAGTGAATTTCTCAGTGATCTAATCAGGTCATTATATTTGGGGAAAACCTTCACACTGTACAAAGTAATCTAAAAATAACACAAGCTCTTATGCTCAACCAGACTGATTTTAAGGCACTGAATCAACTGAAAAATGATTCTGTTTGTTTGGGAATAATCTGTCTTCAGCCAAACATAATTTACAGAAAAGCAAGTTAGAAATCACTTAAAAACTTTACAATTACAAAAGGGAAATTGGTTCATCATTTATAATAAAATGAGGCCACAGAACGTGCTGAGTGCACAACAAAACGAAAAAAGGAATAGCATTACTTAGGTCTAATCACATTTGCTGCATAAATGTTTGCTAATATGTTCATATTTCTTTGCTCTGCTACAGTGCACTTAACTTTCAGAGAGCCACAGTGCTTATGTTGAACACAGTATTCATAAATTAAGGTCAATTAAAACTAAATCAGTATCATCTTCAAGGCAAATGCGATAAAATACTGCGATGTGGATTACAGGCCTTCCTGTTCAGCCCCTCACTCTTGATGACAAATGCCTCTATTTCCACAACCATCCAGCCTGTTCAGTGGACATGTACATTGTGCCAATCACCAAATACCTGTCACATGCTACAAGTGAAATTATTTTTTAACTCACAGACCTTTTCATTGTGTTATCTTTCACAAACAACCAAAACAAGCCTCTTCCAAAAGCATTCCCCTCATCATTTCCACCTTGACTATAAATCAGAGTCTTGCTAGCTGAGATTCACACAGAATATAAGAGTAGGACTGTGACTCAAGTTTCAACACAAAGATCCCAAGACAGCGTCTCTTTGACTTACACATGATGCGCTGTATTCTGAAACATAACCTAAGAGATAAAAACCTGTTGTTGAGTTGTAAGAAGATGTCACCCCCCTCCACTGTCTCCCCATGACTCCCATCTGCTTTGATCTCTGACAGTATGAACCAGCCTGACTTTGGGAGCGGTCGACTAGGGAACTTCATGTAGTGTGCTTTGATGTCTCCAGCTTCATATTAAACAATAACAAAGACCAGCCTGCATTAACTGCAGCCACTGCCCATTGTAAAACCCTGATGGAAACTCTATGCCATATGTGTAAGTGTCACTGCAGGGCAGGGCCATTATGTCACCCCAGTGTACGCCAGCAGATGTGTTACTGCATGCAGATGTTGCCATAGGTACACACAGACGCCTGCTCTCCATCGCAGCTGCAGCAGCACTTCTTTCTATTTTTCATGAGCCCAGTTGGTTGCCAAGGTTTTTGTTTCCATGGCCACGCTGCAGTCTGATGCAACAAATCCCAGCCAGAACCCCCCTTGGGTGCCTTGGCGTGATACCAACCCAGAGAGAGCTACAGCGCTATAGGCTGGCACACTGACTGACTGAATGACTGACATCTCCAGCCAGCCACAGTGCCAGCTGAGCTAACACTATACACGACCCAAACCTCCTTCCACAGTCATTTACTGGCTGGCTACAGTTCAGCGCAACACTTTGCACAGTTTCATACCATCAGTGATTCAGCTATTTATTACTCTTGATGGATCTGCAGGAATGTTTTGGACAGGAATGATCTTCTAATGCTTGTGTGGAGCCTGTATGTGTTTGTTCCAGGGTCAGGAACTACAGTCCTTTGGGAAAACATGCCCTTGAAATCCCTCTGAATTTTTAAATGAGTTGGCAAGAGAAAGAAAAGAGTAGGAAGATTTGTGAATTTGAAAACTGTGTCTCTATTTCTGACCAGAAAATAAATGAGTACACAGCTTGAAGCAGACGTAATGTGACGTAAGTGCTGCATCATTGATGAATTTCAACTGAAACACAACTACTGTAGTGCAGGAGATGTATTGCTTGAACCTTACTATTTAAAACACTTTCACATAAACAGTCTCACACAACGACGAGCCTGCATTGTTTATGTGGACATGTTTTAAATAGTAGGGTTTTAGCAAAATGCATGTGTTTGGGAAGTAGTGAGCACATAACTGGATGAATGAGACTTGGATTATACTGCACGAGTTGTGTGAGAGTTTACCAATGGATGTTTTGTTTCGGTTTTGCTGTTGTTAAACACCATGACTTCAATTCATCAAGAATTGTCTGCATTTTTTGACTCTTCATTTACTGGACTCACGTGAGAAAAACAAAGACTTACAAATAGTCATTTAGACAGGGTGAATTATTTCTTAGATGACTCTGGTCTGTCAGTGCCTGTAAATGTATCTTCATTATGTTTTAGTGGATGACGTCGCAGATGACAGTGTCTGAGGTCCCGTTTATACAACAACGATTTCAACTGAAAACAGTAAACTTAAGCTGAATGTCCTACCTGGGTTGTTTGCCTCTCCCTCCAGGACCTGGAGTTCGGTGCACTCAGCCAGAGAGTGCTCCAGACAGAGCTGCAGGAAGCGGGCCTGGGTCCGGCTCACCCTCTTCAGCAGGGACAGCAGAGCCACAGTCTGCTCGCACTCATTCCACCCCTTGAACCAGCTGGCTAGCACGCCCACCTGATCGCGAAACATCATGGTCTGCGTGGCGGGGGTAAGGCAGGCTGACTGTGGTGGTGCCGGGGCTGGGCTGAGAGGAGCAACCTCCCCCAAAGTTTACACTGATGGTCTGGGGTAAAACTGATGGAGGATGACGCTGGTCTTATCAGCTGTTTGTTTGTTGTTTGTCCCTACACACAGGGAGGGGTCAGTCAGTCGGTGAGGTTCAGCTGAACCACTGTGATGCCATTCTTAGCTTTGTTGTTGCAGTTACTGTTAGACCTTCTGGTGCCAAAAATTGTTTCGCCCGCAGCCACTGCTGGATATATTCCTGCTGGAGGGGGGTTTCTGCACCGTCTTCTCCTCTCTGATAATCTCCTTTGGTGTGTATGTGTGTGTATAGGGGGGTAAGGCTCTCTTCTAGCTAGGCATTAGGTGATATGAGCTGCTCTCTGCTGCTTAGTCGCTCCCAGAGGGATTGATATTTGATGAGTCAGCTTTCTTCCAGCACACGCTGTGTCACATCAGCCTCAGCCTCACTGGCATTTTTCTTCAGGGAATCCCTCTTAAGCCTGCAGGAGGATGTTAGAAGTTAGGGGAGGAAAAAAGCATATTTATAACAGACAAAGCTCTCTGTAGCTCTTTGTACACGCCTCTCCCTCTCTTTCATACATATGCAATGACTTTTACAGTGCACTGGAGAAGACAGCCTCACTAGAAATGCGACAGTGTCCCTGTTGCTTCAGCTCTGCAGACTTTGTGCTGCTGCTGCTGCAATGGGGGGGTGAAACAGCCTTCAAAAACTCATACATGCATTTATAGGTCGCCTCCTCGCCATCGCCTATGCGCATAGGCTTGTGGCATTCACCGCCGAGACAAAAATAAATAATTTTCGCTTTTGGTATCCACCCATTCCTAAAAATACAGCTGTCGGTACTACTGGCGCTGCATCCCGGAATTTTCCAAAGGACGGACGCCGGGTTACCGACGGCGGCCGTTGGCAGTGGCTGTGTGCTGCTGTATGGACGTTAGCAGTGACTTCCCTCCGTTATTTTAATGACAGGTTAGTCCTATGAAGCTGTATTTTAAAACCGAGGACTGGCTGTAGTGGTGAGTTTGAGCCAGAGGAGAAGAAACACGGAGGAGTAACCTAGGAGCAGGCTGAGCGTTAGCCGCTGTCTAAAACTGTCACTTTGCTTCATCAGCACACAGGGAATGACCGTTGGCGGATATGTATATGTGTGTGTGTGTGTGTGTGTGTGTGTGTGTGTGTGTGTGAGAGAGAGAGAGAGAGAGAGAGAGAGAGAGAGAGAGAGAGAAAGAGAGAGAGAGCAGTTGTTAAAAGAATAAATATAAAGTTAAATTTCTCCCTCCATTTTACCTTCTGGAACTTTCAAACGGACGAACCGTGTAACTTTAACGCAAGTTAACGTTCGTAAAGTTGTAATACGGAGCACCGTTAGCAAAGCGACCAACATTAACGGCTATGGATTCACAAATGACAAAGCGTTAACTAGTCAACTGGTATAATTACGTGATTTTAACATAAAGTCTGACTCTAATATAAGGTAAAGGTAGTATTTTTGGATAAATACTGAAGCCGAAAAGGAGAGAGGACAAAACAACGACAAAAAGCAGATTCAGAAACTTCAGTTTGAATGTTTGAATAGTCGGAGAACGCTTAACCGACCTCACCTCCTGGAGCCGTTAGCATCGTTGGGTTTGTCTCAGGACGGGCGGCAGGCTCTGCTTCTTTTTTCGGGGAGCGGTGCCCCTTCACTCCGGGTCTGTGGGATTTGCCATCTTGACTAACTTTTCCTCTGTCTCTCTCCCCAGCAGACGGGCTGCTCTGCTGCTCTGGACTAAAGCACCCACGACCACGGTCAAGATGAACGGAAGCTGTGCGTGACTTCCGGTTACGGCTTTCAAAGTAAAGTACTGCAGTGCGGCGAAGCCAAACAAAAGTCCATTGAGAATTTAAAACGAAGGCACATCTGTTTTCACACTGGTGCCTAGGAGAGTTTATAGGATACAGCCTTGGTAGGATGGAGTGTAATTTAACTATAGTCTGGTATACTTTATGTAATATTTACTCTGTGACATTGTGGAGGCTTTGTTGCATTTATTATCAAGTTTACTCTCGTGTATTAATACTTATCCTTGTTCATGTTTAATGAACCTTCAAGATTTGAATATGTATTTTTTTTTTTTTAGAAAATGCAAGTTAACAATTAGACCTCAAGCATTTATTCTCAATAACATAACGTTACCTGTCCAATGTTCAGAGGTAGGGAGTCACCACTTGAATCAGGGTCTTCTCTGGTGTTCATGGTTTCAGTGAAATGAAATGAACTGGGGTAACAATGTGTAGCATCTCCATATTGACAAAAGTTAATTGCTAACTACTGTTAGCTCAATTGGGTAGTCAACAATACATCTAATTGAGACAGGCCTTTATTGGTCAAAATGTGTAGCTACGCCCGGCTAGTAAAAGAGACTGGGTGTTTAATTGGGACTAGGCTTTTAATTTAAGTTCTATGGTGGCTGTGATTATGATGCAGTATTTTTTAAGCTAAGACAGAACTTTATGTATCCCGAGGGATATGGTTGTGCAGCCCTTTCCAGTATAGCAGGAACATGTGCAAATAGAAAATATATGAAGATAAAATATAAACAGGTTAACAATAATAGTAATAAAATATTAACAGGACAACAGTAGGGTTCAGTCTTGGTGGGATGCATATAGATGAAGGGGCCATGTAGCTTTGTATGCACAATTTCAAATATAAAATACAATCAAGTGTGTGTTGTTAATCAGAATCAGGTTTATAGCCAAGTACGTTTTCACATACAATGAATTTGCTTTGGTGTTTTGGTGCATAACAATCAACAAAAGACAAGATGAAAGCAGTACCATATTAATTAAGAAACATAAATAAAACAGAAAAAAACTGACTATTGATGACAACTATGACTTATAGTACTGCAGGCATTGTGCTATAACTGGACAGCTGTGGCATTAGGAATCAACCATAACTGAGGACTTTTTCATGATGAGTTATAGTTGAGCTTTGTTCATCTATGTAATTTTTATTTCTATTTTATTTCATTTATTTACTTATTTTTATTTCATTTTAATTTTTTTTTTTTTTTTTGAAGAAGAAGAAGAAGGAGAGGATATACCTTATTAATCCTCAAGGGCAAATTTTTTTCACTTTGTTGTCATACACACATAGCCGAAATGACACACACACATGCACAAACAGTACCTACACATTTAATGGAGAGATGTCAGGGGGAATGCCCATGGACAGCCCCAGGCAGTTGGGGATTTTTGCTCAGGGGCACATCGGTGGTGCCCAGGAGGTGAACTGGCACTTCTCTAGCTACTAGTCCACACTCCAACTCCATATTTGGTCTGGACAGGGATTTAAACCAATGACCCTCTGGTTTCCAATCCAAGTCCCTAATGGACTGAGCTATGGACCCCTATGGATCGCCCACAAGTTGTGCCACATAGTTATGCCAACACAAAATGAATTCATGCAGTTAATATCACTATTTTGGTGTTTCTTCTTGTTTGTAACCTCCAACAATCCTTTGACAAATGCCAGTGGCTATTGTTTTGAAGGCAGGTCCATGTCAACTTCCGGCTACGTTTCGGACGCCTTGACGCAGGGAGGCTCGAGCTGCTCGTTTCCACATGCTAATCATTAACAGCGGAGCATTACGTCAGGGGCTTGGCAGCGCGAGGAAGCACCAAAATAGAGAGAGAGCGGAGAGGGAGTGTGTGTGTGTGTGTGTGTGTGTGTGACGACACTACAAGAAAAGGTAAGAATAAAGACATAATAAAGTTCAGTCAGACATGAAGCTGAAGGTTTAAATAACACACACTGAGATATACAGATATGGACAGTACACTGTGAGGTGATATACTTTATATGCCTTCTCCTGCTTCACTACATTTCACAGCTACAGTTACTTCTTTACAGATTATAATTTCACATAGGCTGGAGCATACGATGAATTTCAGGGGTGAAAAGTAACTAAATAGTTACATATACTGAAGTACTGTGGGCCTACTTAAAGGGATAGTTCAGATTTTTTGAAGTGGGGTTGTCTGAGGTTTTATCCATAGTTAAACAGGATTTATACTTGTGTACCAGCTCTGTAGGCAGAGCTTATGCCGTGGCCTACGTTGTTGTGATGTGGTGGTGTGTCTGTGTCACTCTGCAGTCACACCTCCACAACACTAGTCACTAGTGGGGTTTCTGTAAAGTGCTGTAAAGTTTAGTTGATTCAAAACACACATTAAACACACATTAAACATGGCATAACAGCGACAATTTCAATTCACAGACAAAGCATTTGTCTTTATTTGGACACATTTTCCTCACAAATATAACATGCTAACGTTATTAGCGCAAACCTATGGCATTTTACATTGTATAAATTTGCCTAGCGACTAGTGAAGATTTCCTCTACCCATAAGAAGCCAGGATAAATCACACACAAGACTTGAAAATGCGTCGCTGCCATGTGTATTTCTGGGGAGGTGCATGACAGGCTACAGCATAGGGTACAGCATAGGCTCTATGTCAACGCAGAGCCTAGGTCTGGCATTGATTCGACGCAGAAGTATAAATCCCGCTTCAGTGTATTACCTACTGTAAATGTCTATCATCATGCCCCCAGTTTGGAGAAAGGGCCAGAGTGCCCAAACAGAAGCTAAGAAGTGAACTGTTGTGGAGGGGGGTCAGGAACAAAATGTAATTTTAGCCAACTAAAAAAACTCCTATCTGAAACAATAAATAGCTTAAGTGTGTCAGTTTAAGTGAATGCTATATTGAGAGTATATTTACCGCTTTACCCCTCCATCAGACAGCCCATTCAGGGAATGGGACAGGGAAGCAGTTGACGGCTTCACTTCCACATCTGTGCTCTCTTTAATGCCACGGGACTCCACTGACACAAACAGTAATTTTGGCTCCCTGAACACAGAAGCTGCTGGTCTACTACTGCCTCGATCAGTTAGTTAGTGTTATTGTGTGACTTTAAATGCCAAAGTCACACAATAACATAGTGGTAGTAGATCAGCAGCTCCTGTGTTCAGCCATGTTTAATCATTTTTGTCAGTGGAGTCTGACCTTAATCAAAGAGGTATAAGGGCTTCAGTTTCACATTGTAAATCTCTATCTGGCGGAAAGCAGCAAAAATATTGACAATATACTGTACACTTAAACTGATATTATTTGTTATTTAGGTGGAACTTTTTGTAGGTGGCTAAAATACGTTAATTGCTGACCCCATCCACAACAGCGCATTGCTTAGCTTTCATGAGGGCGTACTGACTGACATGTACTGTATAGGTAATATATTGACTATGGATTAGTTCCTCATACAACCACAATTCAAAAAATCCGGACTATCGCTTAAAGTATACAATTTGCCATACTTGTACTTTACTGGAATATTTCCATTTTAAATTACCCTATTCTTCTACTCCACAACATTTCAGAAGGGAAATATTGTAGTTTTTACTGCACTACATTTAAAGCTTTTGGTTACTAGTTTCTTTTCAGATTAAAATTATGAATACAACATATAATCAACAATTTAATTTTTGTTTAGGATATTGTTATAAATTAACCTAGCTGTATATAAATGGATTACAATTAGATCCACCTTTAACAGCTGCATTATTAAGATGATGTTTACAAATGAATACATCAATAATCCAGTAATATAATTCTTAAACTGGCCTTTCTACATATGCAAACAAACTAATTTTATACTTTTATCCAAGTCAGATTTTGAATGCTGGAATTTTTCTTGGAGTATTTGTACACTGCATTATCGCTACTTTTATAGTCGCTAAATAAAAGATCTGAATACTTCTTCCACCTCTGATGAGTTCATGAAATATGTCACTATGTAAAAGATTTAAGCCCTCTGCACTCAAAAAGTGTTTGGCCTACTGTTACTTCACTTGGATGATGGAGCAGAAGAAGTATCAGATCCTTTACTTGAGCACAAGTACTACTACCACGTTATAAAAATACTTGATTACAAGTAGGCCTAAATGTGCTCTTCCTTTATGTGTTGATAATTTAAGATAAATAAACTCTTTAAAAACCCTCTTGGATCAGCTGGAAAATTCATCATCACAAAGCTGAAAACAGGGTTGTTTTTCTGACACAATGAAAAGTTGACAGGACAGACATATGATTATTTTATAGGATATGATGCATTGCTGTAGATTAAACTACACTATGGTATATAAAGGAATTGAGATAAACACAACCTTAAACATCTACAGCAGCGAAATGCACCGTACACATTAATGTAGCAGTAATATTAATCCAAACCATCATGTGTAATAATAAAACACAGATAGAGAAAATTTTACTGCATAAATGAGTATTTTTACTTTCTCTTTTTAAAGTCTAGTACATTTTGTTGATGAGTTTATTTCAGTGGGATGTCCCTTTAAGTGTAAAGGTACATAAATCCGTGTCGTATAGCTCCACTGTGTGGCTGCCTCTGGTATTACATCACAGAGACGTCACATACTTGAAACTGAACTGCACATAAACATATAAAAATAAATTTAAATGTCATAAAACAGGAGAAAATTATATTGAGTTTGATAATCAGCAGGTTTGTAGACACTTTAAAAACATAATAACATTTTACAAAATTAGCGAACTCACATTATCCTGTCGTGAAATAACGCCGCAGGCTATAAGTTTGTAAAATGTTCGTTTGTTTCGTTTTAGGCCTATTAAAAACATGTATAATTAATTGCATTTTAAAATATATATTTTTTGATATTTTTTCGATGCATAAATTCTGTTTTAGTGTATTATAATAAATGAAGAAAGTAGGCTTCATGGTTTCACTCGGAGAGTTTTAAGAGCGAACAGGAAGAAAATTCACTTCCAGTTTAAAATAAATAAATAAATAAATAAATAAAAACAGATATCCGGTCATTGTGTTTACATGTGAGCACAGTGAGAGTTACAGTGAGTGTGACAACGTGTGAGTAACGCAGCTGATCAACAAGTCACGTATTACACGTAGCGGACTGGAAATGAGGAAGTGGCAGGAAGCAGCACTTCACATGAGCTCACCTCCTCTCACCGCTCACAGCCTCATTCTGCTGTTAAACTACTGAAGTGAAGCTTTCCTCTTTTATACATATATATATATATAGGGTAGTTTAAAACAGAGGAGAGGCGGATATGAAGCTGGTGGTCCTCCTGCTCCTCCTCCAGGTGACCGGATGTGCAGACAGCAGGTGCTTCTGTCAGGTGAGCGACACTTAAATAACCTGGTATTTGTTTTTAGTCATCGGAACCAGCATCCTGCTTGTAGCTTCTGTTGTAATGGAACTTTTACACTCTTTAATACATCTGTGTGTTGATTTGAAAGACATCCACGTGCGAAAGTAATTAAAAGGTACGTGTAGAGTAAATTATAGCCTACAGGCTTTTTTAAAGTGTATATAACAGGCCTATAGGTGTCAGGGGAACGTAGATAATTGTAGGAATCCTTGAACTGACTTGAACTTGTGTATTTCCATTTTATGTCATTAATAGTTGTACATCACTACATTTTAGAGGGCAATATTTGCTCCACTACATTTATGTGACAGCTTAAGTTACTGTAAATATTCTTATTATTAAACCACAATATAAATCAGCTAATAAAGTAAGATGTATTATAGCTTAAGATACTCAGCAGTATATAAAGTAGTTAAAATGACCTCCACCCTTTGTGGTTGCATCATAAAGTGATGAACAAATCAATGCATCATACATGTGATTCAGAAATGCCCCTCCCTGCACAGTGAGTACTTTTACTTTTGGTACTTTAAGTATATTTTGATGCGTATGTTTTTGTACTTCTAGTTGAGTAAGATTATGAATGCAGTAGAGTATTTATTCACTGCAGTGTGGCTACTTTTACTCAAGTAAAATATATGAATACTTCCTCTACCGCTGACATCTGTGTAGTCAGAGTTATTAGTCACCCCAAGATCACTATGTTAGATTATTAATACTGATGAATCAATGTGTAAGCAGTGGTCAGTGCAGCTGGTTTTAACTGGTTTCAACAGTAAAGTGTGGTAGTTTAGTCCAGTGGTTCCCAGCCTGGGGGTTAGGGCACTCTAAATGGTCACTAGATAAATCCGAGGGTCGTGAGATGATAAATGAGAGAGGAAAGAAGGAAAAACAAAGTTCTGATGCACAAATACATATATTCAGTTTTTTCCACTCATATTTGATTTTTATGTGAATGCTGTAAGATTTGATCTCTTTGGGAATCAAACTGTTGTTTAGATAAAATCAACTGAGAAGTTAAGAGGAGAAAAGTCTTATCAACACCTCAAAGATGTCTGTGACATGACAATGGGGCCAAGCTAGATCAACCACTGGTTTAGTCTTTAACACACTGTATTTTTTTTCCTTCTTTTTTTAACTTAGTGACTTATTTTTATCATGTCAGCTGGGAATACGACCCATAATTGGTCTTGTAATGCTGTCCATTTAGTCCAGCGTTTTTCATGGATCCCTGCTTTAGTCCTTAGATAGTGAGTCAATTTTTCCATGGAGTATAATTCCTCTACGATGTCCAGCCACTGCTCTAATGTTGGAGGGTCACCCTTCAACCAGCTCCCTGTAATGGCCTTTTTACATGCAAGTGTCAAGATTTTGAAGAGATGCATGTCCTCCTTTAGAATTATGTCACCTGGTATCAAACAATCCGGAGATCCTTAGGAATCTTGTATCATAAAATATCCTCGAGAATCTGAGTAACCCTGTCTCAGAATGGCTGTATTTTTATACATGACCAGAAAATATGTGAATGATTGGCATTCAACTGCCCGCATTGTCTCCAGCATTGCTGCTGTGTGCCCACTTGTTTATTTTTTTATGTATGGTGTGGTAAAAAAGCGGATTAAATTCTTCCACCCAAATTCCCTCCATCTTTTAGAAGCTGTACATTTTTTAATGTAAATGTTAATGTAGTAATACATGGAACCCAAAAACAGACTCAAAAGGCAGAATAAGAGTTCACTGAGCTTATGAGTAGCACAAGGTGCTGGCACAAGGCTTAATGATCAAGGCTGAGTAAATGGAGGCTGTAGACAGGTTGAAGAGTCCTCTCTGAACTGGTCGTTGGAGTGTACTGACATGAGGAGAAGACACTGGCAAAAATCTAAACACAAGGAGGAATCACGTTAGAAAAATCTAACTAACAACACTTAGGATAAATAAATATTCAAACTATTAATAGTTCTATTAATAGTGGAGGTGAAGCTTGGGCTCTTGTACTGAGGCTGATGAAGTTCAGCCAGGTGCTTGACTGCAGTAGCCCTGCCCTCCAGAGACAGGCACATATACACACAGAGACAGAAAGGGGAGGGGGGCAGGGAAACACTAGGGAAATGGGAAAACACTATGTTCACAGCCAGAGCTGTGACCGTAAAATCTTAATTTGAAAAGTAACTACAGTTACAGTCATCATCTCAGAGGATAAGAAGCTGTTTGTGTTTCCCCTCTATCTATCTAACAAAGGTCACAGGAGACCTGGACGACTGCACGTGTGATGTGGAGACCATCGATGGCTTTAACAACGACAAGCTGTTCCCCAAACTTCAAACTCTTCTGGAGTCGGACTATTTCAGGTTCTACAAGGTGAGGTGACCTGATGGATAACACACACACACACACACATACATATAGATTTACTGTGTGTTGCTGAGGACTTGTGTTGATCCTCTGCAGGTGAACCTGAACAAGGAGTGTCCGTTCTGGACGTCGAGCAGTCAGTGTGGTCTAAAGCACTGTGCTGTGAAGCCCTGCTCTCCTGTGAGTTCCTCCCTCTCACCTCTTCTACCTGCTGTAAACACTCACCTGTATTCACATCAGACTCATTAAACTCTTGTGTGTCCACAGAATGAAGTGCCAGAAGGGATCAGGTCCTCCCCACACCACAAGGTGAGTCAGTCAGGATGTGTTCACTTTTTAAAACCATAATTTAAGTATTTGAGGAAAGATTTTTCTATAGCACTCATTAGTGGCCCTAAATCCTCAAATGCCTAAACCAGATTTTGATATCCATATATAAAATATCATAAATTATGCGATTGTGTTTGTTTGTATTTGTGTGTGTGTGTGTATATTCAGTATTCAGCAGAAGTAAATGAGCAGCCAGTTGATTGTGAGCAGGCGGAGCATCTCGGAGCTGTGGATGTTTCTTTAAGGTGGGTCAAGATATTAAACAGTATGAGATCGCTGTGCAAACATTAAGATAATATACATATTCACACTGTTATTGATACTGGGTCTTGTTGAAGTTTGTGTGTAATATAATACAATAATTGAGCTGACCAGGTGAAGTTGAACTAACAGATGTCTCTGTTTTCATGTCCAGTGACGAGACCAGAAAGGCTCTGCTCAACTGGAGCAAACACGACGATGAGGCCGAACGCTTCTGCGTGGTTGACGGTACGTTTCAATCCATCAGCAGAGCAAATGTCTTACTGACCAAACAAAAACAAACTTTTATGCATTTTTATTTAGTAAATTAGATGTTGGGCAGCATGGTGATGTGGTGGTTAGCACTGTCGCTTCACAGCAAGAGGGTTGCCGGTTCGATCCCGGGTGTGGGAGCTCCTTCTGTGCGGAGTTTGCATGTTCTCCCTGTGTCAGCGTGGGTTCTCTCCGGGCACTCCGGCTTCCTCCCACAGTCCAAAGACATGCAGATTGGGGACCAGGTTAATTGATAACTCTGAATTGTCCGTAGGTGTGAATGTGAGCGTGAATGGTTGTTTGTCTCTATGTGTCAGCCCTGCGATAGTCTGGCGACCTGTCCAGGGTGTACCCTGCCTCTCGTCTTATGTCAGCTGGGATAGGCTCCAGCTCCCCCGCGACCCTCAAGAGGATGAAGCGGTTAGAAGATGAATGAAATTAGATGTCATATTCCATATATGATAGAATAGTTAATTACAAATAAAAAACACAGACCAACTGATTGACACATGGCAGTGTCTTTTTAGGTTTACATATTCCAAGAAGTTATCCTCTGTATTTGCTGTTATCAGCATACGTAGTGGTTTTGATATGCAAATTAAAAAAGAATAGGGAATATGATGGTAAAACTACACCATGTGTTAATGAAATTAATGTTAAGACTTAAGAATAAAGGAAGAATAGAATAGACTGTTTTGTAGGGATTGTAAAGGATGAAAATTTACGGGGCATCAGTGGTTTAGTGGTAGAGCAGGCGCCCCATGTACAAGGCTGTTGCCGCAGGGGCCTGGGTTCGACTCCAGCCTGTGGCCATTTCCTGCATGTCACTCCCCCTCTCTCTCTCTCCCCCTTTTACACTTGTCTGTCCTGTCAATTAAAGGCTAAAAATCCCCCCCCCCCCCCCCCAAAAAAAATTCTAAGGATGAAAATTTACAATATTTTTGGGAACACAATGTAAATAATTCATAAATTTTAGGGACCACAATTAGAAGATTGAAAAATGTTTCGGAAACATAATGGAAATTCAGAGAACATAGTGTGAGGAATATTTTTAGGGAACATATAGCATTATTAGGGAACATAACTGAAGGAATATAATCTTTTTAAGGGAACATAATGATAAAATACATCTTTTTTTAAATATGAATAAAAAGGAAAACATCTGAAGGGAGAAAAACATGTTTTGTTAACATATTGTAAAGCATATTTTTAGGGAACATGATGAAAAGTATATTGAATTATTAGGGAATCAAAAGAATATAAACCATTTTTGAAACATAAGGATAATATATTTGTTTTTGGAAATGTAGGGAAGGAAACAAATATATTTTTAGGGAACATGAAGATAACATTGAGCTTTGTCATTCTTAGAAAACATAACAGCATATTGTGAAGAGTATTTTCAGGGAACATGATGTAAAGGATGTGTAAGTAACAAGCAACACCAGAGAATGTATAAGTACTTCATGTCATTTAATGCAACACAGATCAGTTTCTTTGTATTTAGATTTCTTAAAACTATTTCAGTTCAATCATTACTGTCTGACCTTGGTGGGTTATTGTTAGTGTGCCACACAGGTGTCTGCTAGTGTCTCCACCCTTTACTTTAGTTTTATTTGTTTGGGATCAAACTTGGGTGAGAAAAAGTCGTCGTTATAGTGTCTTACAGCTGACTGAAGTGTTGCTGTTTTCTAGACGAGGAGTCACCGGACTCTCAGCATGTCGACCTGCTGCTGAACCCGGAGCGCTACACGGGCTACAAAGGACCAGAGACCTGGCAGATCTGGAACAGCATCTATGAGGAGAACTGCTTCAAGTAAACACTCACAGGATGATGCAATACATACAGCTCAGAATAGTGGATGATCTTTAGATTTTGACTTCTTGTATCTAACATAAGAAACTTCCACCCTAAAACACAGATAAAACAAGACTAAGTCTTTATTTTGATGAATAATGAAATAAACTTGATTAGCTTCAGTTGTTTTTACTTGAATAATTAAGTGTAATACAACACAATTGTAATGTTTTAATAAAAATGCATGTGTGTGTGAAGTACTGAACACACAACTGGATAAATAAGACTTTGATTATACTTCATGAGTTGTGTGAAATGAATGAATGCATGAATGAATCACGCTTCATCACTGTCTCTCTTTTACTTCCCCCTCACAGACCATACACCATCAAGCGACCTCTGATTCCCAACTCGTTCCACAGCAGCTCAGGAAATGAAGGTAAGGGGCCTTTAGTGTCTCATTGCACCATGATCCACTTTATTTGGACTGTAGTTTTGTGCCTGTGTGTGTCTGACAAGTTACAACAACATTGTGTTTACTTATTTACAGCAAAGACCTTCTACAGCTGGCTGGAAGGTGAGCTGACATCTTCATCTGAACAGCGGAAAACTGTTTTGTTTTTTGTTTTTGTTTTTTTTTTTGTCCAGTTTTTGTCAGCTCTGTGTGTTTGTGTCTCTCTTTCTCTCAGGTCAGTGTGTAGAGAAGAGGGCTTTCTACCGGCTTGTCTCCGGCCTCCATGCCAGCATCAACATACACCTGAGCGCCAGATACCTCTTGGATGGTGAGAACACTGTCACAAACCCTCACTGACTCATTCAGTCATTCTACCTTTTGATTCATGAGGAAAACAATAAGTCAGCAGCGAGGACAGAGACGGAGTGAATGTCAGTCAAAATATTATCAATTACTCCCTGCATGTTTCCTTAAATTTGTGACGAAAACTTTAAGGAAATCTTTATTTTTCTTGCATGCCTCCATATGGAACGGAGAATCCAAAAAAGGTAAACTCTCTCTCTGTTAATTCCTTTTTTCCTTCAGACAGCTGGTTCCAGAAGAAGTGGGGTCACAACGTGTCGGAGTTCAGACAGCGTTTTGATTCAGAGCTGACGGCCGGCGAGGGGCCCAAGAGGCTCCGCAACCTCTACTTCCTGTTCCTGATCGAGCTGCGGGCGCTGGCCAAAGTTCTGCCTTTCTTCCAGCAGCCGTCCTTCCAGCTGTACACCGGCAGACCGGAGGAGGACCAGAGACACAAAGAGCTGCTGCTGGAGATCCTGCAGCTGGCCCGGTCAGTCTGAGGCAACAGATACAAACTGGGCACACACACTGTAATAAAAACAGTAAGGTTGTTAAATAGTATAGTCAGTCAGCTTGAACTGGAGGGTTTTGAGATGGGATTTGAAGGATGTTATGTTGTCAGACTGTCGGATGTATGGGGGTAGGGAGTTCCAGTTCCTGGGGGCGGTGCAGCTGAAAGCCCTGGCACCTGGTGTTGAGGCGTGAGGTGGGAATGCTCAGGAGACCAGCAGAGGAAGAGCACAGGCAGTGGGAGGCGGTGTATTCCTGGAGAAGGTCAGAGAGATAGGTGGGGGCTAGGTTGTGGAGGGCTTTGAAGGTGAGCAGAAGTTTTTTGTAGTCAACTTGCTATTGAACAGAGAGCCGGTGTAGTCGGATGATTTGGTTAGAGTTTTGAATGATTAGAAGCCTGTTAATGAGTTTGGTAGGATGGCCAGAGAGAGCTGTGTTACAAAAGTCAAGTCTACGGATGCTAAATCCAAAAAAGTAAAAGTCTCAGAATGAAATAGAGACTTTAGTCATGCTTGGACAGATTTGTTTGCTGTCACTGCCAGCTCTGCAAAGTTCGAGTACCAAATGATCATAAAGAGTGTCCTGCAGTATCGCCACCTTGTGGTAAATGAATGAATGTTCATTTAGACTGTTAGTAGAGCCTGATTTGGACTTCACGGGCTGTTTTACCTTTATTAAAAGCCTCAGATATGTATTGCAGTTCCACACAGATTTTTTTTATCATTATTTTTAGTCAAAAATGGCTCTTTTGATAGTAAAAGTTGCCAACCCCTGCCTTACACCATCTGACGTTGATAGGAAACATAATGAAACATGCAATTGTAACATATCCGTGGTTTGCAGAGATGTGTAATGGCAACGTTTTCCTCTGGTGACTGGGCTGGAGGGTTAGTTGTTGCAGCAGCACAAGATGGAAATAAGTACAGATGAACAGAGAAAGTAAAACTCAAATAGCAGCCCATTATGTCCAGTGACATTTCTTTACTTCTCATTAGTGTTGTTTCCTGTGCTGCTGTCACATTCACTTTATAACCAGACTTCCCTCTCCAGATCTTTCCCTCTGCACTTCGATGAGACGTCTTTATTTGCTGGGGATGAAAAGGAAGGTGCCAAACTGAAGGTCAGCAACCATTTCAGACCTCTTTTTGGATAATTCCCAGATTCTTTAACATGGACAGCAGGTCTTTGTGGGCATGAGAAGAATATTTAAGACTGTGTAGAGACTCCTCTTAAATGACGATGAAGGACTTGTTCACACTCTAATTAAAATCAAGTCATTATCTACACCCCCCAGTTTTGTTATTATCTTATAAACCAGTTTTTCTTTGGTCATTAAAGTGACATGAGTGTGTTTCCTTCAGGAGGACATCCGACTGGCCTTCCTCAACATCTCCAGGATCATGGACTGTGTGGGCTGCTTCAAGTGTCGACTGTGGGGCAAACTGCAGGCGAGTCATTATTACAGCAGTTATATTAATGATGTTCAGCATGAGGAGTAGTATGATCTGCAGTGGTGGAGTGTAACTAAGTTACATTTACTCAGGTACTGTACTGAAGTACAATTCTGAGGTACATGTACTTTATTTGAGTCTTTTATGTCTTCATGTCACTTTATACTTCAACTTCCACAACATCCACAGGGAAATATTGTACTTTTTATTTCACTACATTTTTTAGGTACTGTATAAATTAAGATTTCTGTATACAACACACATCAAGGGTGTATAAAATATTTTGTTGTTGATATTTGATTAGGAATTTTAAATGACTCCAGCTTCACAAATGTGAAGATTGGCTGATTTTCCTTTTATCATTTCAATTTTTTTTTTTTTTTATATAGTCTTAAGGTTCGGACACATTGTGAAGGTGTCACTGTGGGCTTTGGGTAATTGTGACGGCATTTCTCACAGTTTTCTGAATTCATACAAACCAGTGGAGAAAAATATCAGCAGATGAATCCATGACATAAAAATGATGATTAGTTAATAGTCTAACATGAGCTCCTCTTCAGCCAACTACAACAAGCAATGTACTGTACGAAGCAATGTACTGTACGAAGCAATGTACTGCTGTCAACACAGGAAGCAGCAAAATGTATTCTAGCCACCTAAAAATATCTATATTATATCATAGTTTCTTTTTTTTCTTTTTTAAATGTTATTTATTTATTAATTATTTAATATTTATTTATTTATTTATATTATTTATTGTTTTAAATTGAACGATAAATAGAATGCTACATTTTACCTGTAAATATAAAATTTTGCAAACGTGTCTTTTTCTATATATGTGTGACAACTCAGCCTTTAGGGTTTTTTTGTTTTTGGATTTTTGACTTGTTTAACTTTGAAAATCCCAAAAAAAACAGAGTTGGAAAAAAAAAATCAGTATCAGTTCAAGTGTACACTATATTAGAAATGTGTCACTGCTTTACCTTACTGTCAGTTAGCCCTTTTCAACAGTGAACTGAAGCTGTTTTCTATACTCACTTCAAAGTCACCAGACTCCATTGACAAAAACAGTAATTTTACCTCACAGACAACATGAGCTGCTGGTCTACCGCTGCCTCGAATGGTTAATAAGTTTGTGTTATTGTGTGACTTTGGTGAATCTTAACTAACCCTTTAAAACACCAAAGTCACACAATAACACAAACAGACTAACCAATCAAGGCAGCAGCTGATCAGCAACTCTTTTGTTAAGGGGCGTAAAATTACTGTTTTTGTCAAAGGAGTCTAGCTCTGAAGAGAGTGTAGATAATGGCTTCAGTTCCCCTGTCGTTAAAGGCTGTGTGACAGCAGGGTAAAACGGGGAAAATATCATAAATATAGTGTACAATTAGACTGATGTTGATTTTTTGTAGCTGGCTAAAATACATTTTGCTGCCGTCCCACTCACACAGCAGAACATTGGTCAGCTTCTGTGGTGCTACTGCTACCTGCTGTTTCAAACTGAGGGCATGCTGACTGCCACCTACTGTGGGACTGTGGCACTTCAAAAAATTCTCAACTACCCACATACTTACATAATTTTACTTAAGTACATTTCCAGTGCAGGACTTTAACTGGTAACTGTTTTTACAGTGCAGTGTCAGTACTTCCTCCACCACTGCTGATCTGTGTATAAATGTTAAATGATGCGTTCAGGCCATTGTATGTGTCTTACACTACAATTGTGATTTGCTGCCTTGTTTTGATCTCTGTCTCTCTCTCGTCATCAGACCCAGGGATTAGGAACATCGCTAAAGATTTTGTTTTCAGAGCGACAGATTGAAGCTCTGCCCACATCCAGCGTCCAGCGACCCAGTTTCCAGCTCAGCCGACAAGAGATTGTCTCCCTGTTCAATGCCATTGGAAGGTGAGAGTGTCTGTCTGCATCATATATCAGGATTTAAGATTATTTGATTTGTCCTCAGGGAAATTTGTCTTGGATTTTAAAGCTGCCACATGAACATACACATTGCAGAAAGACACATAAAGTGCATTCAAGTACAATATACACATGCTCACCATAAGAAGGGCATCATCATTGTCCATATTCAATCATTATTCCATTCAGCAAATTCAGTTTTCCACGCTGATACTTCATGCTTTCACGACAGGCTTACATAACACAGTCAAACAGTTTGCTTCCCATTCCACACATGATTTCCACTACCTGGAGCTTACCTATTTGTACTCCACACATGAATACTCCATCCTGTATTCAGTTTAACAACTGCACGTGTATATTTATATCTACCTTGTGTTTAGATAAGGATAAAATGAACAAACTAAAACTATATTATGGCTCCAATGCAGCCCCTGAAATATGAACACTGCAGATTTTCGGAGCCTAAATTTACATTTCATTAAAGTTTTCTCCATGAATCGTCCCACAGGATTTCCACAAGCATCAGAGAGCTGAAGAACTTCAGATCGCTGTTAGCGGAGGAGCTGTGATGGTGTGGGGAGCCACTCTTCTGCCTGAATCCTGCTGAAATACTGTTTAAACTACCGTCAGAGTTTAACATGAATAGAGATCAGCTTCAGCTCCTTAGCTCTTAGCTGAGTCTCAGTGGTGGAAGAAGTATCCTGGTCTATTACTTGAGTAATTGTAGTGATACCACAGTGTAGAAATACCTGCCAAGTAAAAGTTCTGCATTCAGAATCATAGTTAAGGAAAAGTACAATAATGATAACATGAAAATATAGTAAATATAGTAAAGTAACAAAAGTACTCATTATGCAAAATGGCCCATTTCATAATAAAAAATATATATCACTAGATTATAGTTATTGATGCATTCATGAGTTCACCACTTTAATGTTGCAGCTGGTAAATGTTGGAATAATTTTGATTGTTTTATATGCTGCTGGGTAGCTAAACCTATAATAATATATCATAATTTATTAGGTGATTTATATTTGTTTTATTATGGAGAAAAAGCACAATATTTGCTTCCAACATGTAATGGAGTAGAAATATAAAGCAGCCAAAAATGTAAATACTCAAGTAAAGTACAAGTAACTCAAAACTGTACTTAAGTATGTTTAGTTACATTCCACCACTGCACTGCTGAGAGGAGACTGAGATTATTTTTCTATGAAGAATTAAGTCCTTTTTCTTGAATTAAAAATAAATTTGTAATTTTGACATGTTACACCACTGGCTATATTTGATATTTTGTATTATATTAATGTAGCTTAAAGTTTTTTGTTGAGTGAAACTGTAATAATTCCAGCTATTATGAGAGACTGAAGAGATGATTTGAAAATGTGCTTTCACCAATATTACACTTCACTTGCAGTGTTTTTGTGATTATGCTGGTGTCCTGAGGGTGGCGCTGTTTGTAAAGCAAATTTTTATCTATGAATACAAAATCTAATTGCTTTGGAAAGTCTTAATTTAATGTAAACAAGAGGAATATGCCGTGTGTTGAGATGAAGAACTGTACGGGTGTGAGAATGATATATTTTAATTTAATTTCCAGACTGATGCATTTCATTAAAATCATACATTTTCTGTGACCTATTAACCTGTGTGTGTGTGTGTGTCTGTGTGTGTGTGTGTGTGTCTGTGTGTGTGTCTGTGTGTGTGTCTGTGTGTCTGTGTGTGTGTGGCAGAGAACATTAACCCAGTTCCATCGGCGGTGGGTCCCGGTTAATGGTGCCTTCAAGTACCCCTCGAGAACTCAGACTTCCATTGTTTAGCGTGTTGGTTGAAATGTATTTAAGATTTTGTATTTAAATCACAAATAATATTAAACTTGAAAACACGTAGACCTACATGAAATCAAAAATTAAGACAGGTGTACCGGTGATGTGTGTTGCAATTCTTTGTGACTTTGCTGTTTGCTGTAGATAACTGACTAATGTTCAGAAATATACTGGCTTAATGTAAATGTGTTTTCTGACTGAAAATAATAAAAGGAAATAAAATTATTTTTAAGAAATATTTTTAAACAATTATTTTACTTATATTATATTTAGTTTGAATGTAAAGGGAGGTATTTTTTCAGTGTACAAGCCTATTCATCTTGCAAGCATGAGATAAGACAGGCTGAGTGGCAGTATGTGTGGCCTACTGGAAGCAGTGTTGGTTGTGTAAAATGAATTGTCTTGTAAATAAAATCAGATTTAAATATCCACTGATAATAAAAATGTAAAATATAATTTTGTTTGGAGGTTTATATAGTTAATTCCTTTATTTACAAGCCAATTTATCTTGCAAACATGATATGAATAGGCTTGTATAATAACTATGTGTTTAAATAATCACTGTTAATAACAGCTTTAATGATACTATGTTTGAAGGTAATAGGGCAGGAAGATTATATATTTGTTACTTTTTCTAAGGAGCCCATTTATCTAACAAGCATTCAAAAGCTTGGCTTAAAAATTAAAATATTTTTTAAATACCCACTTTTAATAATAGCATTAACCATATTATTTTTGGTTTGGAGAAAGAGGAACGTTGTAAAGCTTAATTTTTACAACTTACATGATGCATCGAAAATATATTTTTAATCATCTACCATTAATCATGATTTAAAGTAGGCTGTGTTTAGAGGTAAAAGGAGATTATAAGGATTTTTTATTTTAATTTTTTTATTTTTAGTTTGCACATCTAAATATTGACAAGTAATAATTTTAGCTATACTTTGGAGTATTTTTTTTAATTATTATATATCTACTTTTAATAATAATGTGAACTACACTATTTTTTGGAGGTTTATTTTTTTTAACTAATTTTAATTTTTTAGTTTAATTTTTACAATTTACAAACTAATTTACAGGCATACAGCATATTGCATTGACAATCAACAATTTTTAATCATCTACCATTAATAATAATTTAAAGTATGCTATGTTTAGAAGTAAAAGGTTTTTCAAATTACAGGCAAATTTATTTTGCACATCTAAATATTGACTAATAATAATTTTAACTGTACTTTGATGATGATGCAAACTATACTATTTTTGGTTTAGAGGTAAAGGAACATTGTGAAGTTTATTTTTTACACACCACATAATGCACTGAAAACAAACATTTTTGTTTTATCATCTACCATTAATAATTTAAAGTATGCTATGTTTAAAGATAAAGGGATTTTATTTTTATTTTTTTACAGGTAAATTAATTTTTTTATTTAGCACATGTAAATATTCACTAAATTAATTTTAGCTAGACTTTGGAGGATTATTTTTAAAACATATTTTATATACCTACTCTTAATAATAATGCAAACTGTACTATTTTTGGTTTGAATGTAGAGGGAAATATTAATTTATTTATTTATTTTACAATTAACAAGCCAAGTCATCTTACAAGCATAACATAAATTGACTTTGAAAATAAATGTAGGATTAAATATCAACTAATGAAAATATTTTTAACTATTCTATGCTTAGAGATAAAGGTCCATTAAATTTATTTTTTTCTCTAAAAAATTATTTGAATTTTTATTTATGTATTCATTTACTCTATCAGATACAGTAATGCTCAAGTGAGGAGTTTTTTTTTTTTTTTTTTTTTGTTCTTTGTTTACAGTTCCGGTTTTTCCGACGGTCCTGTAAGGCACCATAAAGCCGTGCACAGACAGTGAAGGGTTAAACAGTGTAATAGGATGAATGGATATTGTGGTGAGCAGCATCTGATTACACGGAGACGCCAGTAGGCATCGGAGGGGGGAAGACACTCAATTATCTACCAGCCGAAGCTGCTCCTCAGTCCGCTCCGGAGCACAAACACTTTTTATCTCCATACTTCACCGAGGAACTTTACTTTATTACACCGAGCAGAAACACCGAGGCGACGGGTATCTGGAGGTGAATGTGTCGCAGCTTCTCACGGTATAAATGGCTGAGAGGGACCGACGTGTGACTGCGGAGTAAACTTGCAACATGTCGCAGTCGGTGCTGGAGGCTTGAAGAGGACTAACCGCCGTGTTTTAACGAGGACACTCGTCAGGAGAGGCGGTCAGAGCGGGGAGGAGAGTGGCTGCTGCTCGGAGGTGGGAGCCAAACAACAGGTAGGAGACCTCACCTGTGTGCAGCAGCACATGTTGACACCCTTTGGTCACATAATCCTGTGTAACGTCTATATTTATATATTACTGTGGACGTAACGTCGGTACTTTACCCACTGTACCGTGTTTTAAACACCGAGGATCAATAACTGTCATATTCTGATAGTTGGTAACTAAGCTAGCGTTAGCTTGTGGCTAAAAGTACTTTGAGTGGTGGAAAGTAACTGAGTATTTTTACTTAAAAGTACTGTACTTGAGTACAGTTTTTAGGTACTTATTGCCCACTTTACTTGAGTATTTAAATTTCCCGCCAACTTACTTTATACTTTAACTTACTTTATATTACTACTCCATTACTGCTAATGATGTAGCTTAATGTTTTAGATTAAAACTGTAATGATCCCCAAAGGGAAAAACAAACACTACTCAGCAGATAAAAGTATGTAATGTGATTTAAATGATCTCCTGACCAGCTTCAAGTACTGTACTTAAGTACAGTTTTGAAATACTTGTAGTCTACTTTACTTGAGTATTTAAAACGTCCTCTAACTAACTTAATATTTCTACACCATTACAGACTAATGATGTAGCTTAATGTTTTAGATCAATACTTTATTGATCTCCTGGGGAAAATCAAACACTACTCAGCAGATAAAAGTATATCATGTGATTTAAATGATCTCCTTACCAGCTTCATCATTAAAGTGATGTACACATTAATGCATCAATAGTTTTATTCCAATAATATAATATACATTATTGTGAAATAATGTATTCTGCAAAATAAGTACTTTTACTTTCGGTATTTTAAGTATATTTTGATGCTGATACAAAGTAAACATTTTAATGTAGGACTTTTACTTGTAACAGAGTATTTCTACACTGATGTGCCGATGTATAACAGCATATTTGGTTGATAACTGATACCAATAAAGATAAATTCTCTTTTTTCCCTATCTGATTTTAGTGATCATCAAGTCTCTTCTGTAGTGGAGTTAACATCATATTATTCACGGGTGTGGCGGCATGGTGGTTCAATGGTTAGCATTGTTGCCTCATAGCAAGAGTGTTCCTGGTTCGAACCTGGGGTGCAGACCTGGAGTTTGCATGTTCTGCCCATGTCAGCGTGGGTTTTCTCCAGGTACTCCAGCTTCCTCCCACAGTCCAAAGACATGCAGGTTAATTGGTGACTCTAAATTGGCCATTGTGATATGTGTCAGCCCTGTGATAGTCTGGTGACCTGTCCAGGGTGTACCCTGTCTCTTGCCCAGTGTCAGCTGGGATAGGCTCCAGCACATCCGGGACCCCTAACATTATAAATGGTTACGGAAAATGAATGAAGGAATGAATATGCATGCATGCTCGTGATGGCCCAGCAGCATAAAATACAGTACTTTCCAATGTATGCATGTATTCATTCAATCATTGTGCAAAATAAGAAAAATCATGCTGGCCGATACTGATGACGTGCCGATATTATTGCGCATCCCTACTGAAGCTCAAAGTACTTCCTCTACCTCTGGTGCTTTGCCAGATTCTTGTCAGCTCATTTGAATTTGGCATGTTGATTACACTTCTTCCGTTTTTATGTAATAGTATAACATTTGCTTCAAAAGTAGCCCTCATTGATTTGTATTTATTCATTCATTCATTTGGATTTAGAGTCACCAGTTAACCTGCATGTCTTTGGACTGTGGGAGGAAGCCAGAGTACCCGGAGAAAACCCACTCGAGGAGAACATGCAAATTCGAACCCCTACCCTGGATCCGCGCCAGCAACCCTCTTACTGCGAGGTGACAGTGCTAACCCATCTATTTATCTGATATGTTAAAGTCATACTATTATCAAAATGCGACACCGATGTGACACAGATACAGGAAATGACTTTAAAATGAGCAATCTAAGTTAATTAATGGTCTTTGATTATGATGTTAGCTTTAGGTGTGGCTGCTAGCTTAGCATAGGTCGCTGCTCAAGTCTGTACAGAGTAGACTGCCATTAACTTTCTGTTATCCAAATACATAAATAATAGAAACATCAATATTCAAATTTTGTGCATAGAAGGAATAAAAAAGTATACAGAATGTAAAGTTTTTAAAGTATTTTTTGTTAAGTTGAGGGCAGAAAAACTACAAAACAAACTGGCTGAGGCACAGCCCCTGCATATCGTTGTTATTTGGCTGAATATAGTCATTTAAATTGTCGGTTTGTCACAGGGTACCGTTGAGCTTACAGTCAAGCTGTTTGTTTTTTTGCATCATTGCAAATAAACACAATTAATGCAAAGGTTATTAAAATGCGTGGGAATGAGTTGGGAGATAATTATTTGTGGGTGTGACACTTCGAGTAACCTTTCTCTATCACACATGGTCATGTTAATCAATTTATATTAGGTATAAAAACACATATGTGTGGCTTGCGGTCTGTTGGCTGGTAGAAATCACATGGGGGAGTTTTGGGAGTCCTTGGCAAGCAGCAGTATTATAGTAGAGTCCATGGAGGGGCGGGGCAGGCAGGCTGAAACTTTCCCCCAGCTTCAGGCTTCAGATCCTGCCAAGCAAGTGGAATTTCATGCAAACATGAAATATGTCAACGCAGAATGTGAACTCCCACCCAGTCTGACAGCTGTCCTCTGGTTGGCTAAGGTATCTGCTTATGCTTTTAACTTTAATTTAACCTTGAGAAAGTGACACCAGACGTCAAAAACTGAAGAGTGTCAATAAAACTGGCTTTTGCTTTTGTCAGATCAACTGTCTCAAAGATATTCAGCATACTATAATGTAAAGGAAAAGCACCAAATCCTCACATTTAAGAACCTGTAACCATTATTTGGCATTTTTGCTTGAAAAACAATTTAAAAGATTTAACAAAGTAGTTGCAGATTTAATTTGTTAATCAACCAATTGTTCCAGCTCTATTTTTAATAAACCTGCAGTCAGGATCTTTTTGTTAAAGCTGTATTTAGTCAGAGAATGTGAATCCTTTTGTGTTGCATTTTAAACAGCGAGGCTTCATGCACTCACAGTGGAGTCAAATGTGAACAGCAGGCGAAGCAGGTTCTGGGTTAATCTTTGCAACGTGCAACAGATTGTACCAAGCCAGCCCCAGCCAGCATCCCAAGGTTTTCAAGCTGCAGCGCTTTTTGCAGAGCTAGGGAAGCTGGTGTGGAGGCGTGTTCCGGTCCAACATGGCCTCAGTGATGTGGTCCTGGTTAAAAATGAGCTGGGAGAACAGCTGTGTGTGTGGGAACAAGGCTGAGTTGTCCTTTTTTCTTTCAGTCTGCAGTACTCCGCCTCTCTGTTTGTGATCTGCTTTCGGTTTGCCTTCTGTCCTCACCTCTTCCAGGGAGCTGTCACATGGTTTGTTGTCAGAGCCTCGGGCTGTCAAACGTTACAAGAATGAGATCATCACATGAGTGGGAGTGTGAAATGTTGAATTAGCCTAATTGCTTAAAAGATCTGATTCAAAACTTAAAGTTCAAATGTCGCTGCATGTTTTACAACAATACAGATACCTTCAATAACGTGATACTCAAGAAGACAAAAAAATTAAAGTTAGCAGAATTACGTTATGAAACATGATTCCTTATTTTCAGCAGGTTGATGCAGCAATATAATGAATCACCATCATTCACAAAACTGCATTACTGCTGTGAACGAGGCATTAACATGAAGGATGTTGCTCTGCTTTTGGTTTTCTTTGAACAGGCCTGTCTTCGTGCCACGCTCACTGTTTCTCTAATATCTAACCTCGTGTCATGAAGCAGCTTGTATGTGGTTTGGCATTATTTGATGTTCATTACTAACCAATTGAATTTATTGTTTGTGTTCAAAGTGAAAAGGGTTGGGCTCTCGGCTCTTGGCACTGGTGCGTGAAACATTCAAAAGTGAAACTCTGGTGTCAAATTTGAGCAGTTATCCAATCATCACAATGGGTCAGACTCAGATGAGCAGTCTTGGTTTACCAGGAGGTTGAGGCACTGTTCAGCTCTCACTTGGGTTTTAAGTTAAAGGGAAACGTCAGTATTTTTCAACCTGGACTCTGTTTTCCCACGTTTTTGTGTCTAAGTGACTAATGGAGACAACAATTTTTTGAAATTGGTCCAGTATTGAGAGAGACCGCTGTGGCCACATCGAAAAAAGGCTGCAGCGTAATCTCTACAGGCAACTGTGCACTGTCAATTTACGTCCATTAAAGGTCCTTGTTTTTGCCATTGACAGGCTCAGATTGTTAGAAGCGTCTCAAACATTACAGAAAAGACCCTGCTGAGAACCTCTCCCTCTTACTGGTCTGTTTTTTCATTGTGACCAAGTCTCGCTAAAGAGAAGTATCATTCTGAAATCTCACAAGAGATGACTTGTTGCAGGAAAAACAACAGTGGAAACATTATTGAGAGCTGGAGAAAGGAATGCTGGGAAGAGTTTGCTTTTGATTTCACAACGAGGCGAGGTGACATGCAACTACATGAAATACGCTGTTCTGCAACGTTATAAAAATCTGCTGGTTCACACCAATGCAACTAGATGAGATGGTGTATCATCTCTATGCAACAACTCTCTGTACTTCCGTTCTGATTTACAGCTTTTCAGGCTTTTTCTGTGGCTGAATATAATTTGTAGCCTCTTAAAATATGAATGAGGATAGTGATAGTAAGATACTGGCCACAGTTGCATTTGTAGTAGTGATGAAACAGCAACAAGAACATCAGATGGACTGTATTCATAATAAATACGCCACAATAATATAAGTAAGCAGCGCCAATGAGTTAGTCAATGAGAATGTGTGTGCGTGGGGGAGCATAAGCACATACAGCGAGCAGCAGCAGCTACCCACCATCCGACACCGCCACACTATGTGGACAACAACAGTGCTCAGAGTGCTCAGTAGGTACGGAGCACCTGCCGCAGCAAGCTTACACACCGTCTGTGGTCATTTGGACTTGACCATCGAATTTCACTACAAGCTGACTGGCTGTATAAACAGGTGACATGCCTTACGTTCTAAAACCAGCCACCAGTGATTTGACCAGCTGAGTTGTAGGTGACACCATCAGCCAGCTTGAGTCGAGCTCAGACTGGCCAGTTCACTCAGTTGCAACTTTTCTCTGCAACGTTCTAAAACGGTTTTGTTTTGTCGCAGATCTTTGGTCTGGACTTGGCTTAGTGTTATCGGAAAAAAATTTAGTGTCATGGTTGAATATTTAGCTGATTTTGACAGTTTGGAAAAATCCGCAAGATTTCAGAAGAAGACTTTTCCTTTAGGAAGACTTGGACACAAAACAGACTGGCTTAGTGAAGGGTAAAGAAAATCTTTTATTTCTGAGTCTGTCAGTGGCAAAAACAAGCACTTCTAATAGACGCACACTGACGGTGCACAATTGCCCATTGGGATTAAATTGCAGCCTGTTTGCAGGACCAGTTTCAAAAATAGTGGTCTACATGAGTAAGTTTAGCTTCCAGTGGAATTTTGAATCCTTTAAGTATAACTTGAATGTCTAAAAAAGGCCTTTTGTTATTGTAGTTTAAATCTAAATGATATGATGTTTCACTTTATGTGATCAAAAGTACTTTAAAGTGATTTGTAGTTAATCAGCTCATGGAAAAATCACTGGTGTGGTCTCTTTTAAAGCCTGACACTCCCTTCCCAACTCATTGCCCAGGCAGGTAATTTTAGAGGTGTGAGCTAACTGCTCTGACCTCCTCTTATAGGGGGCCGCTGGTCCTCTGGCTGTTTCATTATTCGTCCACTACAGGCTCCATGTGTGGCATTTCACCACGACACCCAGAATGTGCCACCTTCCACCCAACACCGAGCCATATAACGGGCAGCTCATCCAGCCCCATCAAAACACTGCTGGGATCTAACTGCATGCTGCTCTGCTGTCTAACAAACTTCTCTGTGTGTTTTCCCTTTGCTGTTGCATCTGCTCCCAACGGACCTTCCTCTCTCCGTCTGTCCCTTTTTTGTCTCTCAGGCCCGTGGAGACAAAGACTGTCTTCTGTTTGGACATCTGTCCGTCTCTGTTTTCGTCTCTGATAAGGTAAGTTCTGCTGTCACTCTGGGCCTGCCTGCCTGCGTTGTTTTGAGCCTGTGCAATATGTGGTTTGTGTGCTGTTGCTGTTTGTAATCATGCTAACTATGCTCCTAACACCAGTGCTGGAAAATAACTAAGCACATTTACCACTTCATATGAGTATTTTGATTTTATCCTATGTTATACTTCTACTGCACTGTATTTTAGAGTTTAAATATTTAGATATTTTTCTCAGTCATCACTGAATGTTGACACCGAAAGTTTCCTGAGTAATGATGCCTATTTAACATCATCACAACCTGCTTGAAGGTGGTCGGGTACACCTTAATCCGACTCCAGAAATATGGTCCATCATGTACATTTTTAAATTGGTAATGGAAACTCAAATCAACATTGACTCCGCAAGGCCATCATAAATCTGAAAGTAACTGGTAGCTAAAGCTGTTAATTAAATGTAGTGGAGTAAAAAGTACAATACTGGCCCATGACATTTAGTGGAGTAGAAGTGTAAAGTAGCAGAAAATGGAAACACCCAAGCACCATAAGTACAAGTACCTTTGAATTTTCACTTAAGTACAGTACTTGAGTAAAAGTACTCCACATTTCATCACTGGTTTACGGTGACACCCACACAGCTGTTTAAGCCTGCGACTTTCTACAGCTACTTTTAGTCTTTTCAGTATTTTGATTTGCTGAGTAAGTCGATGGTATCTTTGCCTCACAGATGATATCTCTTGAGTTTATACTTTGAAATGTGATTGAGCCTGACCAGATACCTATCAGATCAGCCAATGAAGTAAGAGGATTTTCTAGCTTTTCACATGACTTCCCACTTGACACAAAATGTCTGAACATTGTGAAAAACAGTTTAAAATCATTGTTAAAGATATAAAATAATGCACTACTAAAATCAGAGGCAAAAGCAGTGAAACCTTGGGGAGTTTTGTGCTGTGAGAGAAGTTCATGTCTGAGTGACTAAGAGTCAGTCACCTGTTGTCCTTTAAATGACATCTTTCCCAAGCCACAAACATTATCACATGCTGTTGTCTTTAATGTTGTTTGATTGGACTAATTTCAATCGAGTTGTACCGTGACAAATCAAAATGTCGTGTGGTTCTTTTGTGACCTTCATATTTCTAAATTAACTTCAATTTAGTGAAAGGAATAATTAGAAATGTGGGAAATATTTTTGCTTTCTTGCTGCGTTCCATTTACATCAGAAGTCAGAGGTCAGACCTGGGAATGGTGTCATACCTGAGTTGACCACATTCCACAACAACAAGTCAGAAAACCAAGATTTTTTTTTTTGCAATACCAGTCCTAGCCCGGCTGGCCATTGTTAGCAATACCAGTTGATAAGAAGGTGTTTCGCTGCATTTTGTGCTAGGGCTGCCACGATTAGTCGACTAATCGATGACTAATCGACTATTAAAATAATCGGTGACTATTTTAGTAGTCGACTAATTGGTTTGAGTCATTTTTCATAGAAAAGTACTATAAAAGTACCCCAAAATTCTCTTCTAACAGCTTCTTACGTTCAGATATTGGCAGCTTTACACACTCTCCCGTGACAGTGAACTAAAACCCTTTGGCGTGAATATGAAAGAAGACATTAGATGACGGGGTTTGGGCAAGACAGGCCGACATTTTTCAACATTTTAACACATTTTTCGATGAAATGATTAGTCGACTAATCGAAGAAATAATCGACAGATTAGTCGACAATGAAAATAATCGTTAGTGGCAGCCCTATTTTGTGCATGAAAACACCAAAGCAACGTGCACGTACAGAAGTTGGACGAGATTGTGTGTATGACTGTTTTAATGAGACATAAATAAGACAAAAGTGCTAAGAAGCAGCAAGTTAATACAGCTGGATCTTACCCTTTCTCCAAGCTTCTCTCAATACTGTCTCCTTGGTTGTGAACTCCTGGAAGTTTATAATAATAGGCCTCGGAGGGGCTTTGGGTTGGGGTTTGTTCGCCAGGGAACGATGAGAGTTTCTCAACAAACTAGTGTTGCACGGTATACCGGTACTTAAATAGTACCGTGGTACTAGAGTATTCCAAATGGTACTATACTGCATTTGGAAAATACCGGTACTTTGAAATTGATGCAATTCATTAATTTAGTTAATTTATTTTACTCATTTATGCACACAAACGCCTTTCTTGTTCCTATTGGAGCACAGATTGCACAAGTGGTGTGTATGACAACACCTGTATCAACATTCGCAGCTGGCGCACGTGAAAAAAGACAAGAGAAAGTCTGCCTCGCAAAGGGAGACAACACAAGACAACACAAACTTGGTGGAACATTTGAGTTACCAAACCACGACGTCCGTACCGAGGTACTTACTGAACCATGATTTTTTTGGTACCGTTTTACCCCTACTATTTATTGTTCTAAAGGTTTGTATCCAAAAGGACTTTTCCTTAGGAGAAGTACCGAAGAGTATCGAAAAGTATCGAAATTCATATTGGTATTGGTACCGAAACAAAGATTTTGGTATCGTGACAACACTACAACAAACTGTAGTACCGAATTTCCTTCCTCTCCCACTGCCACTCCAAAGATGTGTATATTGTTTCTTCTGGACAGCGACTCAAGGTCCGTAAGTTTCTGCTGCAGGACTCTTTGCTGCTCCAGGCAGGTGCAGAGCACCTTGGTCGCCTCCGCCGCCCATCCCTCCACCTGTTCCACACGGGTTTCCCCTTCTCCAACTCGGTCAGTCAGACTCTGCATCTCTGTGGCAAGGTTGTCGAGTTTGCCATTGATTTCTTGTCCCAAGTTATTAATTTCTTGTGTAAGGCGTTCATTGTTCCCCTTGAGATCAGTTTTTAGCTCCTTTATCACCTTAATTACATCTTCAGGGTCAGTGCTCGTTCCGGGGCTCCTGTGACCTTCAGCGGCTTCACTACGGGTGCTAGCTATATCTGCTTTGGTGTTGCTAGCTTTCGCCGCCGAGGCACTTTTATCTTGAGGTCTCAGTATTTTTTCTTCTTTTCTTTGGCCTTTAGTGTTTCTTCTCCCACTCATTTACCCATTTCACTAATAAAATTCAAGTTTTCGAGTTATTTGGTGGGTGAACTGCAATTAACCCGGGTGCGCGGTTTCATCATGCGTCTAACTACTCCATCGGCAAACTGGAAGTTCCCTGCAGGACATTTTGTTTTTTAGTCTGGAAGCTTGTCAACATTCACGGACAGCAGTTGAGGCCACTGAGAATTCAGAGTGTTAATGGATTACTTTTTATTCCATCCTCTGGCTTTTAAAGTGTGCAAACAGAAACATACCTTTATATTGTTCTTCGATTTAGTAGTGAGTATATTTGCGTGTGGTTGCATTGCTGTATTTGACAGCAGTCTGACAATATTTACTAATGACGTTTTTGTCTGGAACATGTTGCTGTTACAGGATATGAAGCTGCTGAAGGACTTCTTTCTTCTTACATTCTCATAAGCCATTTTTACACTGCCTGCTCAAGGTGGGAAATTTGTGCTGTTATTCTGCCTTGTTGGTCTTTATATAAGGCACAATCGCAGAATGAGGGGACAGAGTTGTCTCTCCTTAAGGCTGCTGGTGGAGGTACTAACAGTGCCAAATTCACATCTGTGTGAAAGGGACAGCTGGCAGAAAAGGATGGGTCTGATGTTTTGATAAGATGTGCAATAATGTGCGCAACCCACCATAGGGAGACTTAAAAAGCAGCTAGAAACAGTTAGCAGCTAATTCGAAGAAGAGGAAACAGCAGCTGAAAATGTCCCCAAATTGGGGAGACAATGAGGTACGGGGGTTTCTTATCCTCTGAGCAGAGGACGAGCTCAGCTGCCATATAACAGGGACGGTAAGTTATTGTCATTACTGTGTACTATTGTTATTGTTTAGAGAGCGTTGCTCACATGTACTGTATGTTGTTTGTCACACTAGAGGTCGATGCTGTTGTGTTACATGTCATGCCTGCGTCATGATGCTGGCATGCTGTCTAAAATCACACACTGGGTTGGCACGATGGTGCAGTTGTTTGGTTCTGTATAAAAAAGCATAGACAACATAAAGAGGGGACTTTGTAGACGCCCTATAGCACAATCTCTGTGTGAGAAGGGTGATAGTCTTCACTCCTCACTCAGCATGTGTGTGCTAACTTGGCAGTTGTGACGACACCGGGGCCAGAGGAGCAGTGAGAATCAAGTCCTCCTGTTGGCATTTTAATTCAGCTTCAGTTACAGCCGAGCCACACACTGTGCGGTGGGTTGTAACATGGAAACGAAACAAGGCTAATAAAACAGCTTGAGGACAAGTTAATCCAAGAAGTGATTCACTGCAAAACACTACATTTACAAACTTCTGACCTACCTCTGTTGTTTTTCAAGCGGCAGATTGTCGAAACAAAGCAGGGTGGCTTTCAGAGTAACCCATAATGTGCTTTATTTTTGCCAGCAGCAATCATTTTGTGATCATTGTGAGCATGGTTATCATTTTCTTTCTTTACACAGTGAGTCTTTCATTTGGGACAGCAGCGCTCTGGCACACAGCTGTTTCCCAGGCTCTGATATACAGCCAGCTGCTGGCAGAGAAACAGCAGCTGGAGCAAAAAAGTATCTCAAAAGGCATTTCTGTTTATAGATGTTTGAAGCCTCCAGGCCCCGATGGTTACCTACTGTACATACTCTCACATACTCTGCTGGAATGCAGACATAATAGAGCAGCTTACAGACTAAAACTCATACAGGCCTCCACATGCTTCATATGTAGAAGCATATAGACACAGCCTGGCTGCAGGGAAACTGTTGGTGTACATTAATCAGATTAATGACTGCGAGTTTTTCCAGTGGAGCTTATGAGGTCTGGACCTGCCTCTCTATCCGTCACTCCCTCCTCCTCATCCCTCCCTCAGCTGGTCTCTCCCCTCCTCCTCCTCCTCTTCACTGGCCTGACCCATTTCTCTATAAACCAACAACCAGAATCTCTTTCTGTCTCCCATGACTCTCTGCTACCATCACCCA